CGAGCACAGCTATTCCAAGCTATGCTCTGAATCAAACAACACAACGTTTTCTTGCAAAATAAATTTCACGAACTGAAAAATAAACAAAATGCTCGAGGAAAAATATCAGTTTGATGCTCGCTTACAATCAACACAAGCATTTACGTCAGCAATACGTTCCACTGCCCGTTTGGTGACGTTCAGCGGTGGCCACAGTGCTTGCAGATCGGGCTCATCCAACATCGATAAAGCGGAAATACTACAGCACGTATGCAAGACATCTGAAATCTCATAAGACTGCGAACTGCTCAAAGTTATACGGTGAAATTTCTCAAAACTGTGTGTGTGTGCATTTGTGCACTAACCTGGCACGACGTCGCTAAATTTGCCAAAGCCTCCCAAACGACGATCCTGCGTCGAGATGATGAACGATCGTAACCTTTTCTTATCGACCAACACATAAGCATCCAAAATCTTAAATTTCCTGTATTTCTGCACAGTATATTACTGAATATGCTGAAAACTTCTAGTCCAAGCACCTCATCTTTGTACGACGGCAGCAACGAATTGGGAATTGTCGACCCAGGACGGGACAAAACCGAGAAAACATTGATGGGTATGTTAGGTTGCATATGGTTAATATTGACTCGGAAAAAATTGGCAGAAATTTATATTTTGATTACAAAATTTGTGCTACAATCTCCAGCCGGAGACTGTATGTAAAAGGTGTTACAGGTGGGCACAAATTCCACAACATCGTTGATGTCCTCAAACTGTCGGATTAGAAGGGCCGTGCCACCTCTCCAGTATCATTCTGATGAAGGCGTTAAATATCGGTGAGAAATTCGGCTACCGATGAAACCAGAAGAGTGAGAGCTGACAGTAAGAACAATATTGAAGCGAAAGGCGCTTAGAGGTGCTTTAAGTACCGCGTTTAAGGTCGCTAACTTCTGATCAACACTAATTTTCATGCTTATTATAAATAACCCAGGCTGTAAAGCACCAGGTTTGTCAGTGTGACCATGCGTTTTTGCACCAGACTTGAAGTACTTAGGTCATTAACTGCATGAATGGTTGTTGCTCTACGCCCACCCTTTGTACTCACTAGCCTAAATTACCATAAATTTTGCATAAAATAAATAAACAATTTCCATTTAACGGTCGTTCTTTGAAAGTAACCTAGCTGTACAATAACTAATTTTCATGCCACAACTTTTAAGTGCCCATACATGAGGACCACGCATACCAGAGGGCTGAATTTGAAAAATTTAAGTTGTACTTGGAAAGGGAACATTCCCTTAAAATTTCAGCTTTCAGCTTTTCTGGTTCTCGAGTTAGTAATTTTTCCGCCAAAACTTCCGCATACCCGTACATGAGTACCCCACATGCTTGGGAAGCTGAATATGAAATCTCTGAACTGCCTGTAGACAGGGAACATCACATCCCCCTAAAATTTCAGTCTTACAGCTTTTCTGATTACCGAGTTGGCAATTTTTCCGCCAAATCTTTCACGTGCTGGTGCGTCAGAACCACGTATACCTTAAGGCTGAATTTAAAATGTTTAAGTTGTACTTGGACGGGAAACATTCCCGCAATATTTCGGCTTTCTAGCTTTTCTGGTTCTCGAGTCAGTGATTTTTTTTGCCAAAACTCTTACACGCCCTTACGTGTGTATCACTCGTACCTGGAGGCTGAATTTGAAATCTTTAGCTCATACTTGCATAGGCAGCAACCCTGCAAAGTTTTCGCCCTTTCCTGATCTGGTTCCCGAAATTGCTTTCCCGCCAAAAAATTTGCATCTTTTGCTAAGACGCCCGTACTCGGCACCCAGGTGTAGGCGGAAGATGATATCAAAACGGGAGGGTCGCACGTGGTGTGGGCACATACTTCCAAAGTTTCAGCC